GATGGAGTATTGCTCTGTCACTCAGGCTGGAGTGCAATGGCACTATCTTGGCTCTCTGCAACCTCTGCCTTCCAGGTTCAAGTGACTCTCCTGCCTCAGCCTCCTGAGGAGCTGAGACTACAGGCACCTGGCACCATGTCCAGCTAATTTTTGTTTGTTCGTTGATTCTTGTTTTTTGTTTTGGAGATAGAGTCTCACTCTGTCACCCAGTCTGGAGTGCAGGGGTATGATCTCAGCTCACTGCAACCTCCACCTCCTGGGCTCAGGCAATTCTCCTGCCTCAGCCTCCCGAGTAGTTGGGACTATAGGCACACACCACCAAACCCGGCTAATTTTTATATTTTAGTGGAGACGGGGTTTCACTGTGTTGCCCAGGCTGGCCTCAAACTCCTGGGCTCAGGCAATCCGCCCACCTCGGCCTCCCAAAGTGCTGATACTACAGGCGTAAGCCACTGTGCCCAGCCCATTTCTAACTTTTAACAAATGCATATAAATTTAGTAGAAAGTAATTTCTCTTGTGGCCCTTAAAAAGGTGATTGGGGTGGGAGGAAGTCCACTCCTTACATGTGAGCTGTACATAGTGACTTCCTTCTGAAGAGTACAGTATGGGAAGGGGGAACAAGAGAGTCGCTTTACAGTGGACACAGCCCAGGTGATCATGGCCAACATTGGCAGTCATAACCATGTTAACAGTTTGCACCTTTGCTATGATGTGAAGAAAATAATATTTCACCTCAGTGATCTTCCCCAGAATCCGTAACTCAAGTCTAATCATGAAAAACATATCAGACAAATCCCAAGAAGGAAACCTCTCATGATATATCTGACCAGTACTCAACAGTGCAAGTCCTTAAAAACAGAAGTTTAAGAAACTGTCACAGCAAAGAAGTACCTAAGAAGAAGTAATAACTAAATATCATGTGGATGGGAAAAAGGATATTAGGTTAAAATTTATTTATTTATTTATGAGACAGGGTCTCACTCTGTTGCTCAGACTGGAGTGCAGTGGCATGATCACGGCTCACTGTAGCCTCAGCCTCTCAAGGTCAGGTGATCCTCCCACCTCAGCCTCCCAAGTACCTGGGACTATAGGCACACGCCACCATGCCTGGCTAGTTTTTTAATTTATCTGTGGATTTGGGGTCATTCTCTGTTGCCCAGGCTGGTTTCGAATTCCTGGGCTCATGCAATTTTCCTGCCTCAGCCTCCCAAAATGTTGGGATTACAGGTATGGGCCAACATGCCTGGCTTTAAACTTTAAAAATCTGAGTAAACTGTGGACTTTAGTTAATAATAATAATAATGTATCAGCATTGGTTTACTAATTGTAACAAATATACTGTATTAATGTAAGATGTTAATAATAGAGGAAACTATGTGTGGGTGGGGGAACTGTTTAGGGCAACTCTCTTGCTTATCTGCTCAATTTTTCAGTAAATCTAAAACTTTTTTAAAAAATAAACTCTATTAACAACAACAAAAAAGGAAGAAATGGATGAAGGGGTTCAAATTATTCCACCTGAAATATGCCATTCTGATGCAAAGGTGATTTTGTATCAGAAGGAAAGTGAGAAGCATCAAATAACTCTCTGGTTTCCTCTTCTCTGCAAGGAACAGCAGAACAATTTTTAACCACCAGAGACACTCTAGACTCAGCAGCAAGGAGATGGCACCAGAGGCATCTGCATAGCAAAACTTGCTAAAACAATCTTTATCCCTCTCCATGAGTTTTCCCTTATATTGACCTTCCCATGGTTGGCCACACCTAAAAGCCTAAACTCCTTTTCCCTTGTCACTTCTCTACAAATTTATTGCTCTTTGTTAAGATGCTATATAAGCCCAAGTTAACCATGCCTTTGAGTTACTCATTGATGTGGTTTGGCTCTGTGTCCCCACCCAAATCTCATGTCGAATTATAATCCCCACATGTCAGGGTAGGGGCCTGGTGGGAGGTGATTGAATCATGGGGGCAGACACTCACTTCTCATGATAGTGAGTTCTCATGAGATCTGGTCGTTTGAAAGTGTATGGCACTTCCCCCTTCACTCTCTCTCTCTCCTGCTCCACCATGGAAGTATGTGCCTTGCTTCCCCATCACCTTCTATCATAATTGTAAGTTTCCTGAGGTCTCCCAGTTATGTTTCCTATTAAGCCTGTGGAACTGTGAGTCAATTAAACATCTTTTCTTTATAAATTACCCAGTCTCCGGTAGTTCTTCATAGCAGTGTGAAAACAGACTAACACAGAAAGCTGGTACTCGGAGAGTGGGGCACTGCTATAAAGATAACTGAAAATGTGGAAGTGACTTTAGAACTGGGTAATGAGCAGAGGTTGGAGCAGTTTGGAGGACTCAAATAAGACAGGACAATGTGGAAAAGTTTGGAACTTCCTAGAGACTTGTTGAATGGTTTTGACCAAAATGCTGATAGTGATATGGACAATGAAGTCTGGCAGAGGTGGTCTCAGATGGAAATGAAGAACTTATTGGGAACTGGAGTAAAGGTCACTCTTGCTATGCTTTAGCAAAGAGACTGGCAGCATTTTACCACAGCCCTAGAGAGCTGTGGAACTTTGAACTTGAGAAAGATGATTTAGGGTATGTGGCAGAAGAAATTTCTAAGCAGCAAAGCATTGAAGATGTAGCCTGGCTGTATCTAAAAGTGTACACTTATATGTGTGAAGGAAGAGAGGGTCTGAAATTGGAGTTTATATTTAAAAGGGAAGCAAAGTATAAAAGTTTGGAAAATTTGCTGCCCAACCATGCAGAAGAAAATAAAAACCCATTTTCTGGGAGAAATATAAGTTGGCTGCAGAAATTTGCAGTAATGAGGAACCGAACGTTAATAGCCAAGACCATGGGAAAGTGTCTTCAGGGCATTTCAGAAATATTCATGGCAGCCCCTCCCATCACAGGCTCAGAGGCCTAGGAAGAAAAAATGGTTTTGTGTGCCAGGTCCAGGGTCCTACTGCTCTGTGCAGCCTTGGGACACGGCACCCTGTGTTCCAGGTGCTCCAGCTCCAGCCATGGCTAAAAGGGGCCAAGGTATAGTTTGGGCCATTGCTTCCGAGGGTGCAAGGCCCAACTCTTGGTGGCTTCTATGTGGTGTTGGGTCTGTGGGTGCACAGAAGGCAAGGGTTGAGGTTTGGGAACCTCCGCCTAGATTTTGGAGGATGTATGGAAATACTTGGATGTCCACGCAGATGTCTGCTGCAGGGATGGAGCCCTCATAGAGAACCTCTACTAGGACAGTACAGAGGGTAAATGTGGGATCAGAGCCCCCACACAGAGTCCCCACTGGCGCACTGCCTAGTGGACCTGTGAGAAGAGGGCCACCATCCTCCAGACCCCAAAATGGTAGACCCACTGACAGCTTGCAGTGTGCACCTGGAAAAGCCACAGGCACTCAATGCCAGCCTGTGAAAGTAGCCATAGGGGTTATACCTTGCAAAGCCACAGGGGCAGAGCTACCCCAGGCTCTGGGAGTTCACCTCTTGTATCATTGTACCCTGGATGTGAGACATGGAGTCAAAGGAGGATTTTTGGAACTTGAAGATTTGATGACTGCCCTGCTGGGTTTTGAACTTGCATGGAATCCATAGCCCCTTTGTTTTGGTCAATTTCTCACTTTTGCAATGGAAGCATTTACCCAATGGCTTTACCACCACTGGATCTTGGAAGTAACTAACTTATTTTTGATTGTACAGGCTCATAAGCAGAAAAAAACTTGCCTTGTCTCAGATGAGACCTTGGATTTGGACTTTTCAGTTAATGCTGGAATGAGTTAAGATTTTGAGGACTGTTAGAAAGGCATGATTGGTTTTGAAATGTGAGAAGGGCATGAGATTTGGAAGGGGCCAGGGGCAGAGTGATATAGTTTGGCTCTGTGTCTCCACCTAAATCTCATGTTGAATTGTAAGCCCCTTGTGTTGGGGGAGAGGCCTTGGTAGGATGTGATTGAATCACAGAGGCATACTTCCCCCTTGCTGTTTTATGATAGTGAGTTCTCATGATATCTGGTTGTTTGACGGTGTGTGGCACTTCCTTCTTTACTCTTTTTCCCTCTCCTGCTCCACCATGGGAAGATATGCTTTACTTCCCCTTCATCTTCTTCCATGATTGTAAGTTTCCTGATGCCCACTAGTCATGCTTCCTGTTAAGCCTGCAGAACTGCAAGTCAATTAACCTCTTTTATTCATAAATTACCCAGTCTCAGGTAGTTCTTTATAGCAATATGAAAACGGACTAGTACACTCATCACTGAGTTTCTCCCAAGTATATATGTGTGGCATGTGTTAATAAATTTCTGTTTGTTTTTGTCTTATTCATCTGTCTTTTGTCAGTTTAATTTGCAGGGCCTCAGTTGGAGAACCTAGGAGAGTGAAAATAAAAGCTTTTTTCTCCCCTACATGGGAAAGACTAAGGAACATGTATGGCTAATTAGGTATACAAAGCTTGGTATTTGCTGCCATTAAATTTGGGGCCCAAGGTGGGCCCCCAAATGGGAAGGATATAAGGCACAAAGCCCCCACAGGGGAGCTGGACTGGTTGAAATAGCTGGATTCAGTGAGTACGGGACCTATGCTTTCTTTATGACTGTAACTTCATACCCAGCTCAGCATCTTCAATATGAATATTGATTTTCATCAAGTATCCACTATGGCACTGATGCTGCATTAAGTGCTTTAGGTACATTATCCCGAGGACCACCATCTTAGTCCATTTGTACTGCTATAAAGGCATACCCAATGCTGGGCAATTTACAAAGAAAAGAGGTTTATTTGGCTCATGGCTCTGCAGGCTGTACAAGAAGCTTGGTACCAGAATCTGCTTCTGGTGAGGGCCTCAGGCTGCTCTCACGCATGGCAGAAGGCAAAGGGAAGCCAGCATGTATAGAGATCACATAGAAAGAAAGGAAGCAAGAGAGTGGAGAGGTACCAGGATCTTTTTAACAACCAGCTCTCGTGGGAACTGCAAGAATGAGAACTCAGTCACTCCCCAGGTAGGGCACTAATCTGTTCATGAGGGATCAACTCCCATGACCCAAACATCTCCCATTAACCCCCACCTCCAACACTGAAGATCAGATTTCAACATGAGACTTGGAATGTTTAAACTATAGCAAACTATAACCCAATTGCACATGAGGGAAACTGAGGCAGCAAAGTAGTTTACCCAGGGAAACAAAGCTAGTAAATGACAGAGCCAGGACTCAAACCCAGGCAGTCTGACTTCCTAGTATCATCCTGTGTACCACCACAAGATGATACTGAATACATACTGGCAGTATGACATGATTTTCTGCTCTTATAGGTTACAGTTCTGGTTTGAATCACTGGTTTGAAATTTGAAATTCCCAAGCTGTGTTTGGCAGACCCAGATGATCCTTAGCTTTGGAGATTTATGGTTCTTGGATTGGCATATGGGGGAGAAACCTAAGAGTCCAGGACATGTAGCAATGTATAATACTGTTGAGACATGAACTAGAATCATCTTTCTGTGGGGCTGGATGGTGAGATTTCATTTAATAGCAGCCATTTGTTTTGAGCACTCTCAGAGGTAACCCCTGCAGAAGCTGGATGGCCAGGTCCAACCTGCTTGGCTGCAGCACGTCCAGCAGCTCAGCATGCTGACAGAGGATTACTCCTTAGTGGGGGACCTGGGAGTTATGCCAATGATAATTTTGTATGTGGGTTTCTTATCTTGATGTCTAATTGGCCATCCTGCAGTATTGACTGGACATGTGATTAAATAGGGATAGCTCTATTTGAACATATCACTAAATGCTTTTCCTGTATTGTTAGACATGCTGGTTTACCCAGGACAGTCCCAGGTTACAATTATTGTCCCCACATAATTATCAATAAAGCCTTCTGTCACTCTCAAAATTGTTGCAGTTTGAACGGTGACTTGTACAGCCTCCATATTTATAACACAAACAGTTGTCTGCTACTCCAAAGCTAAAATCTCTAGAGACTACACTAACTACTGTTCTAGAATATCAGCGACAGCTGGGACTCCTGTTCCTAGAGCTTTGGAAGAGTGAGTTCATCTGGGGAAAAAAAAAGGTGATTGTGAAAGAAACCATGATTTTCAGAAGTGTGATTATTCATTCATTCCATATGGGAATTATTTTGCAACTTTCATAAATTTCAACTACATTTCCTATGCTCTAAAGGGTGAAACTGCTGCAAAACTTACATGTATTTTAAAAGAAATATACATTTAACTATCACCTGATTTCCAAAACCAGATAGTTGCCTTTAAGATGTGACAGATGGCATCATCTTCTAGGAGGATAGTCAGCATGATCACATGTGATGCCACACTGAGCATCAGAGCATCAATAGCTAGCCTGTTGGAACAGGGCCTGGAGCAAGAAATGCAATAGTTCAACCCTAAATGTCTTGTCATTGAAATTATTTTTTGTAGTTCTCAGTCCTGACACACATCCTCAACTTCTTTTCAGGTCTGATATACCTTGTTATACACGGAGTGTACAAAATGTGATAATGCTGCACATCACCTGTCATCACTGAACTCTTCTATAGTGTTTTTACATTTCTCTTCTGTCTACATTGTTTTTGTCATTGTTGTTGCCTTGTCCATTTCTTTACCATTTGTGAGGTTAGCGCATTCACTGAAAACTATGAGATTTCACTTCCAAAACTTTCTAAGGTAAGCACCAGCTACCAATTCCTATTATTTTCTTTCTCTCAAGAATTGTGATGTGTTGCAAAATTTTCTACCCCCATGGTCACAAATTTGCAGTAACCTCCAAAAATCCAAATATGCCCTTGATTCTAAGCCTCAATTAAGGCTGTTGCTGAAATGTGGTCTTCTGTCTGGAAGAAGCTACTCTTGGGGACTGCAGTTGAGAAATTTTAAAACATAGAATAAGCCAAGCACTGGAGATGAATGACGAAGATGGTTGCAAAATAATGTCCACATAGTTAATGCCACTGAATTATACGCTTAAAATGGTTACAATGGTAAATTTTATGTTATGTGTATTTTACCAGCATTAAAAAATATAGGCCAGTCAGAAGCATTCAGGGACAAAATCCACGAACATGTAAGCAGGTGTGTGTAGATGCTACAGGGCTTGGCTGACAAAAAAGGCAGCCAAGAATTAGAGAAGACCAGAAGTTTCTGGAAAATGTTTGCCCATTGTTGGATGGTCTGAAGATGCAGCGAACTTAAGTAAGGACAGATTTGGATTCTGCCCTACTTGCCAGACCACACGTGTGACTGCATAAAGGTTGCCCATGAGCTGCAAAAGACCAAAGTAGAGCGGCGTCATCCTAAAAATGAAATCAGTGGTGAACATATTTATTTGTTCAGCAAATGTTTATTGTGCTCACTACCATATTTCATCATATTTAATATAATATAAACTGTTAAGCTAGTTATAAAGCATCTATGTTTATTAGATGATTCTCTATTTATTAGGTATCTAAAATACTTAGCTATTTAAAAGCTCTAACACCATCACAAGTACCTTGAGTCCTGGTATGATGTAAATATACTTAATTCCCATAGAATCGAAAGAGGAATGGTGCATAGAAGATCACAGAGATAAGAAGATAAACAGAAGCTCTGTCTACAGAACAGAGAACAACTGAAAGGGGACTTAGGGAAGACCAGTGAGCAGATGGCCATTGTGGCTTTGTATGAAATGATGGTCACTTCCATGTGCTTTGTGTTGATGCTGGAGATGGAGAGAGGATATATGTGAGAATAAGCTAGAAGTCAAAAAAGGACAATTTTGTGGTGACACATCACAACTCAAGCTGCTATTTGCCAGGTGGAAGGGAACATTTTCTCCCCTCTGCATAAATCTCTTCGTCTCTTCTTCCAGAGGAGAAGAGAAGAATCTGATTGATCATGTTTCATGACAGCAATTGGGTCATGTTTTTTTACCTGTGTGTTGAAAGGTCACCTGTCCAGGTGTGGAGAAGATGGAGTTAGATCACTTGGATTAGTAGCTTGCCACTGCCATTTGTCTGTCACTTGACCTTGGGCAAGTTATTTAATATAGCGAAGCTTCTGTTTTCTCATTATAAAGAAAAAAATAAGAATTTCTACTTCAAAACATAGTTGCAGATTAAATAATAATATCTGTATAGGTGCTTAGCCTAGCACCTGGCACACAGTATTTTTCTAACAAATGCTAGCTCCTGTTACTATCCCATGTCATCAGCAGACCCATCTTGCTCACTTTCTTTTATTCTGTTTCCTTATGTACCCAAGTGTACACTTTATTTCTTATATTATAACCCATAATTAGGATTCAGGTTTAGAGAAATAAAGGCATACACTTAGCTTTCATTCTAATCAGGTTGCTCCAGCCCAGCTTTGACCAAGGCTCTCTAGCCAGAGTATCAGCAACTGTCCTTGATAAAAATGAAGTAGCGTTTAATTACCATTTGTTTAATTGGCACATCGCTCCTTGCTGGTATAGCTTCATTAAGAGCTTCATGGGAAATATATACACCTACTATGTACCCACAAACATTGTTAAAAATGAAAACAAAAAAGAACTTCATGGGATGGAGTAGAGTTAGAATGATAAGGATTCCTATATTCCTGGCCTAAATATTATCTGTTCAACATGATTTGAACATATACTATGTGCTTGACATTGTTCTAGGTCCTGAGATTTAGCTGAGACTTGATCTTTCATATATATCTTATTATAGTCTTTGTCATATTAGGCAATAATTATTTGTTTTCTTGTCTATCTCCCTCTTCTAAGCTATGGAGTCCTGAAGGACAGTTTCTCTAACTTCCTTCAGTGTTACCTAAGAGTGGGAAAGATGTAGGTATAGAACTATCAAGGAAGAACTGGCTCTCATCCTTGCTTTTTCTCTTTTTCTTCTCTGTGTTCTGTTCTGAGTAATTCCTTCAGGTCTGTCTTCTACATTACTGATTCTCATTTCAGCTGTGTCTAATCTGCTATCAATTCATCCATTGAGGATGGATGAACAAAATCTCAATAATTTTGTTTTTCTATTCTAGAAATCCTATTTGAGTCTTCTTTAAATCTTCCTAGTCATTTTTGATAGTGTTATGTTGCTTTCTTGTGTTTTTAATTCCATATTTTATTTTATTTAAATATTTCAAACATAATTAATTTCTATATTTTATAGCTGCTTATCATTTCATTGCCTGATGTTCTTGAGGAAAGGATGTGGGCCACCTTCTACTTTTTGTTTCTGCTCATACTGGCTTGCTTTTATGTGTTTGCAATTTTGGATTGTGAGCACAAATTTAATTGAGCTTTATCTGTGGGTCACTTCTGAAGCTTGGATTGAAAGTTTATCCATTGAGGAAGGATTATTTTCTCCTCTGCCAAATTCCTGGGAGCATTATAAACCTGCGTTTACTTTATATTAATTTATTGCTTTGGAATTTCCAGGCCTGTGCAAATAGTGTAAGTTTAAACCATGTGCTAACATGCCTCTGGTCACTAATTTTGAGGGAATATTTTTATTCATTCAGAACTTTGGCCAAGACAAACACACTTCTTTCTTATTTTCCATTATGGGACAAATTTTTCCTACTCCTGTCTTTCACTGAGTGTATACCTTCAAGGGTATATTTTTTCTACCCATGTCTTTCACTGAGTGTGTACCTTTAAGGGTTCCAGCTTTTTATGGTGTTCTCAGTTTACCTCCCAGTTTTTGCAGGATTAAGATCTTTATGTCCCCATAGAGTCACTGAAACCCTGTTTCTTAGCTATGAAAGTGGGAAATACCTTCAGAGCTTAAGCTTTCAACTTCTTAGTTTTGGGCACTCAAGAATTTCTTCAACTTTTTTTCACCCTCACCTTTGCATTTGAGAATATGTTGATGATATTTTACCCAATTTTTTTCAAGTGTGTTGTAATGAAAGGGTTTTCAAATTACCACCATATTGCAGATCATGGAGGTTAATAATATCATCAGAGAAGTATAGACATTTTGTTATTTCTGACTGTGGAGTTTATAATCTTCTGGGCTTTATTTGGAACTATCTCTAGAAAGATATAAAGGAATATCTTCAAAAAGTCAAATCCTACAGTTACTGCTCAGTTGGAACAAACATGATGAACTTCAC